CAAATCTGACAACTAAAGAGAAACTACAAAAATATCTGATTTCATACACTCTAGTAACCCTTTTCTATGAAAAGTTGAGAAGTTTGGCTCCTCTGCATAGTGAGTCGGTTGACTGCTTTACTAAATCATGGAGCGATTTTATTGGGGATATCATTGGAAACACATTTCTTAATTTTATTTCGGTCCCATTTTATGTTTCGTTATTTCAAAATTATTTTATTTCCTAATAAAGACTAGATATGATTGGTAAATTTGTAAATTATGAGAGATCGGTTTCTCTATTTATATGTAACCTATATGTGAATAAAAAATAAAGTGATTTTTTCTCCTCATGTCTGTTTTCAACATGGTATCAGAATCATTCCTCCTTCATCCGTCATAGTCGTTCCTCATCTTACAGGTCAAGACTTACTCAAAGCTCTGATCCTCATAGCTTTCAATGGTGTCGTCAGTCTTTGCCTTTGACGTCTTTAGTGGCATCTCCGCATCTTCTATCGTCGATCTGTCTTCAATGCTTTCTTCAATATCTTCTCCCTTCGACGTCGTTGACCTAGCCGAACATCTACATCTTCAACGGTGTTTCACACCCCACTGATTCTTGCCGCTTCTTCTCGTAAGTGTTGTGAATCTCGCACTCCACTCTTATCCACACAGTCCGTCTCTCGATCAAACTCTGCATGCCTTAGCCACAATAGTTTCCTCCATTAGAACAGATCAGGTGCTTTAGCGCTGAGTCATCCACTTGTATGGAAAGCCCGACCAGCATTGTCCGCTTATTTAGACAGCATCGTCCGCTAGTTGCAATTTCTCGTTTGCGTCATTCGCTCACCTGGATTGCTTGACTACTTTGGTAGCTCGTCTGGTTAGTCTGTCTGCTTCATCTGAAGTATTGTTCGACTTTGTCTAAACACTATGGCTGACATCATCTACTGGCCCTCATACTCTTCATCTATCAACTGTCCTTTGTTGTCTCTGTTGTGACCCGCATCTATTAGCCCTTCTCGGATCCTATTTCTTGCATCCATCAGTCTCCCTAGAAGGCCGCCCTTCCCGGTTTGGAACCTTCCCTTCAGTCGTATCTCTTACTATAAGTCCTTTGCCGATGGAACTCTCCCTGCAGTCGGACTCCTACTGCAAGCCCTCTTCTGTTGGAATCCCTTCAGGAAAACAGCAGGCCCTCCTCTGAAGTCCCTTCGCTTCTTCATAGCACTAGAATTCTCCCTGGAGGATCTCATTTGTTCAACTTTTGCCATCAGAAACTTCCTAACAGTAGACCTCTACTGGATTCTCCAAGCAGGCACCTTGTTCACTGAAATTCCTACTTTCCTGCAGCAATCGTTCCGCCACCTACAAAAGCAGTAGTCAACTCCCTTCCTGTAACTAGAAGCAACCCTAAATATGCATAGGTTTATGACCAAGTACAGGATGAAGACGTCACGTTCTATTCCAAAGGTTAATTTTGAAAGAGAGACTAAGAATAATTTTTAGACACTCCTGAACTCCTGGGAAAACTCCTTGGAGGTAATTCAGAACACCACAACAACCTCATGACACACCAAGATAATAGATTGTTCTCCTATCCTGCCAACAATAGGAGATCTAGAATTTGAATCATCAAATCAGGAGCCTCTGATCATATGACCGGAGACGTCAATATTCTAGTAAACAATTAAGAGACCTTTACACTAGAATAAAAAATGTGGACAACGAGATGTAGAGCTTCTCAGGATATTACTTTCTGTTGTTTTATATCTCAAAGTTAAACTGCAGTTTTCGTTCAGTCAATAAACTTAATCATGATATGAAATATATAACTAAATTCCTTACAAAGTCTTTTGAATTTCAAGTGGGGTCGGTAAAATGATTCGCAATCCTAAAATGCATCATAACTTATATTTGCTTAAGAAAAATCTCTTTATAAACACACAAATGATCCCACCATTAATTTTATCTAAAATCTATGTGATGAGTTTATGTTTGTCGAAAAACATGTCATGTTATGACATTACAAAGCCTTTTGAATTTCAAGTGGGGTCGGTTACAGTCTTTTGAATTTCAAGTGGGGTCGGTAAAATGATTCGCAATCCTAAAATGCATCATAACTTACATTTGCTTAAGAAAAATCTCTTTATAAACACACAAATGATCCCACCATTAATTTTATCTAAAATCTATGTGTTGAGTTTATGTCGGTCGAAAAACATGTCATGTTATGACATTGTTACCTAGGCCTATCTCAATTCTAATTATGTTGCAACATTGTATCATTATTTATTTATAAATTAATAAACCTACTTATATATGTGAAATTCGTTAACTTGCCAAACACACTATAAATAATCATCTCATTACCCAGTACAAACCACCAAACCCTTTTTCCATTATCCACAGTGATATTTGGGGCCCTTCAAAATTCAAAAATCTAAGAAGACTAAATGGTTTGCCTCATTTATTGAAATCATACTGAAACTACTTAAAGTATTCCTAATGAAAAAAAAAATCTAAAACAATTCAAATCTTTCAAATCATCCATAACATTATTCAAACTAATTCTAGTACAAAATATAGATCCTCAAAACTGATAATGATTATGAAAATTTCAATTCAATCCTAGGGAGTCCTATCTTTCAAAAAATGGAATCCATATGAGTGCATGTATTGATGCCCCAAAATAAAATGGGATAGTTGAGAGAAAAAACTGACACTACTTAAGGTATCCCGCTTAATTATTATTTCTCAACAAGTTCAAATATTTTTTTTTGGAAGCATTTCTTACTGAAACATACCTTATCAATCAAAAACCTAATCAGATACTTGACATCAAAACATCTTTTCATATTTTTATGATTACCTATTCTCACATCGAAGCTTTCTATTTTATTATACGGTTTATCATTTGTTCACACCCATTCCCAAAATTGCACAAAACTTGACCATAAATCTATCAAATGTATTTTTTTTTTATATACTTCCAACAAAAATGTGTATAAGTGTTACTCTCATGTTACTAGAAAATACTACAACTCAATAGATGTTACCTTTATTAAAAATCAATCCTACTACCCACTATCTGATGCTCAGAGGGGGAATGCAAGTGAAATTAATTTTGGGATGCACTTGATGACACAACATGGTCTCACTATCTACTCCACCTAGCCCTCATTTCCTGGTTGAAAATGTCTAACCAATCCAATCAATCAAACATGAGGTCATTAACAAATAATTTTGTACAAATATAGGAAGAAAACCCTTGATCATGTGGAAGAAAACTAACAAGAACAGAACTGCTCAAACCAAAAACTGAGTCCACATTGAACAGAAACTTCAGGCCAAGAGTATAATACTCATGAGTTATATCCTTCCTCTTCGGATGTTGGTTGATGAGAAGAAAAACAGAATTAGGTCCCTAATTCATGAGTATTTAGCTTATGGGAAGCTATTCTCATACTACAAAGATTTTGTTTCTAAACTTCATAGTGTGTAGATTCCTAAATCCATTTATAAAGCTCTTGAAAATTTGGAATGGAGGGAAACAATTGAAAAGGAGATTCAACCACTGAAGAATAATTACACGTGGATTCTTACCGAGCAACCTCAAGATAAAAAACTAATTGAATGCAAATGAGTGTTCAATGTCAAATACAAAACTGATTGGGGTACTGAAATATTTAGAGACAGACTCATTGCAAAAGGTTTCACCCAATCCTATGGGATTGAGTATCAGGAGACCTTTACACCATTTATCAAACTAAATACTATAGGAGTTGTCCTTTCAGTGGCAGTTAACAAGAAATGGGGACTGCATCTACTTTTTATAAGAAAATGTCTTCTTGAATAAGGGTTAAGAAGTGTATATGGAGATAACACCAAGAATTGAGAATGATTCCAACAAATACTTAGTATAAAAACTTAAAAAGCCTCCCTATAGGCTTAAGAATCATCAATGCATAACTTAAAAGGTTTGCCAAGACAATGAGATCCAATAGATACTCACATGGCTAAGTTAATCATACTCTATTCAAAGAATACACTTAGAGAGATAAGATTGTTGCACTGATAGTAGATGATATAAGCCTTGTTGGTGATGATAAAAATGAGATTCTCAAGATCAAAGAAGTGTTTCTCACTGAGTTTGAAATTAAGAACCCAGGAACCATGGATATTTTCTAGATATAGAGGTAGCAAGGTCTAAGACTGACATCATTATATCACAGAGGTAATACATCCAAGATCTACTAAAGGAGATGGGGATGATTGGATGCAAGTCTGTCGATACTCAAATGGATCCCAAAAAAAGTCTAATAAAGGAGAAGAAAGTATATCTGTGAACAAGGGAAGATATCAAAAATTGGTAAGAAAACTCATATACCTATCACATATGAGATCAAATATTGCATGCTCTGTCATCACTCTGAGTCAACACATGAATAACCCAAATGAAAAGCATTTGGAAATAGTATACAAAACTTTTAGGTTCATCAAGAAGACTCCTAGTTATGGATTAAACTTTGAGAAAACCATAAATAAGGGTACAAGTCTGCACTGATGGAAGTAGGGATGGAGAACTCACTGACAAAAGGTCCACCACAGGTAATTGCTCAATGTATGGGGCAATCTAGTTACATGGAGAAGTAAGAAGCAAGCTGTTGTTGCTAAAAGCACATGACACTCGCCTTAGGAATCTGTGAAGGGATCTGGATTAATAAATTATTAACGAAATTAGAGTGCGCCTCCAATAGGCCAATACAAGTCTTTTGTGATAGTCAAGCAGTCATCAGTATTGTCAAGAATCCAGTGCAACATGACATGACCAAATATATTGAAATTGATGGACACTTTATCTCTGAAAATGTTAATGGTGGAATTATACCAAACTTCCATCCCAACAAAATAGGAAGTTTCTAATATTTTTTTTTCAAGGCTCATCCTTTAAGCACATTCTCAAATTTCAATACCAAGTTTGGTCTTTACAATATCTACGTAATTTTTCCTCCCCATACCTGTTTTCAACATGGTAACTGCAGCACGTAGACAACTTCAACAAGGTCACTCTAGTAGAAGGCATTACTAGCACCTATTTATAATAATGGAAGTTCTTTCATTGATGGAGACAATTAACAAATTGAATAGAATCAAATCTGAAAACTAAAGAAAAACTACAAAAAAAAACCAATTTCAGGCACTCTAGTAAACCTTTTGTGACCAAGCAAAATAGTTATTAGTGTAGACCTATCAGCAAGGAAATGGTTTAATACCAAGATATATCATCAAAGAGGGCACTAGAACGAAAATTAGAAAACACGCCCGATGATGTTCACCAAATTCCATTGCATTCAAACATTGGCTGGGGAGATGAAATGGTAGCAAAATCTAAAAGTCATGATGGTGGATGATGATCCAAACAGCAATACCACTAATAGTGAAATGGAAAAGAAAAAAAACAAAAGGGATTATTTTCGTTGGGTAGTAAGATTTCTTCAACTACAATAATGCCAAAAATGCAACAAGAATAATAAAAAGTATGAGTACATATGTGCGAAGAAACACCTAAATAAAAAATTAGGAAACTAGATGATATATTTATAGACAAACTAGAGCAAAAACAACACAAAAAACAGATTAATTAATATGTGAGAATTGAATCAAGCAATAAACATTCATAGATAGCATGGCATCTCCTAAGAGAACAACAATCAACATGAATAGAGGTTGTCGAGACATTTTTTGCCACTATAAATATAAACAAATTTGGCCTAATATTATTCCAAAAGATAATTAGTACAATCACAAAAAGGGTGAGGGAGGGAAGGGCTTCCTCAAAAGTCCATGACGTCCCATAGTGAGATTTCTGATAAAAAAAAGTTGGGAGGAAATGATAACTCTGTGACTTCAACTACACCAGGAATAGCAATTGCATTGACAATTTCATGTTCAATCATTTTATGAGTGCAAATGAAACGAGTAATTTTGGGGGAGGTTAGAGGAGGTTCATGGTGTTTGAAGCATATCAACATCGAATATAATTATGAATTCCACAAAATTCAAGCTAACAAATGAGCCCTTAAGAAAATGGAAAAGCACAATACCTATAACTTAAACAAAGTGATTGTTGGCGGCTCTTTCTTGACCGGATTAGGAATTTGTGGGATTGTAAGCAGGTGGTCCATCAGTGACCAAGTTGGCAATCCGTGCACCATGCAAGAGGGGCCAAGTTGGCATTCGGTGCACCATGCAAGAGGTAAAATCGCTCAAGTTTCAAGAAGAACAAATGCTTACAAGATGATGAATATCTTCCTCACTTCCAAGGCAACAAATATGAGAACATAAGTAATGTTTTATTATTCTATCCTACTATTTTTTGGTCATGTAATCACTATATAATTAGTAGATTTCATTGGTAGAAATTATCAAAATAGCCTAGAATCTTGATGTATAAATAGAGGAGTAAAATTCTGAATAAAATCAACACAAAATTCAAATCATATTCTCTTTATAATATTAGAGGTCAAGGAAAAAGATTCGTATGCATTCCGCCTGCTAATCAAGAGCGAAATCACAGCTGCCTTAAGTTCATATGCCTGGAAGAAGAACCATAGCCAATGCCGATCGTTTTTAGGAAGATTGTTGCTGTCTCAAGACAGCCCATCCCAACCGCAAGCTACCTCAAAAGAGCAAAGGCCATTCCCAATTGCTATCTCCGGCACAAGAAGGCCAAGCTCATATGGCATCCACCAAGCATAAACATTAAGAGACACTTTTTTTTTTTCATAGAATAATGTCATCTATGTTATAAATTGTTGACCAACAAAAGAAATAAGACAAGTTAATAATGGGTGAGTGTCAAAATCATCAATCTTTATTCGAATAGAACACAAAAAAAAAACATTTTGACCCTAAAGTGTGAAAATATTTCTCAAAGCAAAATGGAAAATTGGTCAAATAATTGGCACCATATATCCATTGAAGATGATCTTGATTTAGCCACATGAGATGCAAGTGATTGCACAAATTTGTATAGGTAAAATATTTTGTATGGCTATGAAATTCAATGATGGTAAAGTCAGCCAAACTAATGTTTCCATAGCCAAAGATATTTGAGACATGGTGAAGCAAACATATTCCAAGGTGTTTGATAATGCCACAGTCCATGAAATTATACAAAGATTCAAACCACCAAAATGTTATTTTATTTACTGAAAATAATAATAAAATGAAAAATTTGGTGCTTGAACTCAGCTAATATTAATGTATTAAAATGAGATGCAGTGCAGATGCTGCAATCCTATAAACTTCTGTATATGGAGAAAGAATTATGTGAAGTCCCAGCTGGATTGAAAGCTGAATATGACCATGTATGCATACAAATATTTCAAAAAGACTTCACCTATAACCTAAATGAAATTTTATTGGATATCAGAAAATTAGAAAAGCATTATCGTGTTATGCTAGAAAAAACATCAGTTATTGAAAGTGTTGCCCTAATTATTGCTCCTACACTAAACATAAGTGGGACAAGCCTCTGAGCCCAAATGAAGCCCACCATTGCCCACTAAATGGAAAATACATGCTTTGCAATTATTGTAAACAGAAATGATAGACAAAAGAAATAATGGGAACTCCAAAGGAAACCATCAGAGAAAGAAAATAAGCCTCCACACCAAAACCAAACAAAACATCATCAAGACAACAATATTCTTATGCAAAAAATAACTGTGATATAAACAAAAGGACAAAGGCAAGAAAAAATAAACAAACTCTATATTTTGGCAACGTCTGAAAAACTAATGGTTATATTCTCTGTGGCTAATGCAAGTGAGTATATCACTTCAAACAGCTCATGAGCTTATAAAAATAGTTCAAACAAAATCTGAAGGCTCAGGAGTAAAAGAACACATAACCAACTCCTTAATTAAATTCTCCACCTATATAGCGTTTAGGAAACCTAAAAATAGTAATAAAACATAGAACCGTGATTGTTATTGTCTAGAAGATACCTATAAAACTCACACCTTCCCTTCAATTAACATATGCTTTTCAGGTACATAACTTATCAATGAATTTATTATTAGTAAAAAATATGCCAATTACCTAAATTGTATTGTTGTGTTTTATCCTACTAAATTGTTTTTTTAAGATTGAAACACATTAAAATAGATTTGGGCTGATAAGGAATGGGTATCCTACTATATACACATAAGTATTAATGATTACATATCTCATTCATACTAAAAGAGCACAAATTTGGCTCCTTATTTAAATAATTCATTAAACTTTTAATATATTGCAATACATGTTGCTTGCACTGTTTAATTGAAAAAAGTTAAAGAATTCGAGTGTGCAGTGTGTAAATGGCCAATCTGCATTAAGATATCTTGTAAATCACTCAAAAATCTCAATTATGATATATTGACAAAATCTCATATCACTAATATTAAAGGGGTCAGATAATTTATCATCTTCACAAAAAATTGTTCACACATTCTATATTTCACTACTCGGGATTTCAGCCATTGAGGAACTCGTGGAAACTAATCATGATCATAATTTAATGGTGTCTTTTTGTGGTAAATCACTTTAGCATAAAGCCCAAATCATAGCATATACTTTTTTTTGGTGTCATTTGATAATAAACTCATCCAATCAAAGCACACATGTCATGTCTTTACGGTCACAAAATCTTTACAATAATCACAATCATAAATTCAATAAGATATTGACTCTTTGTGAGCTGGGGTCATCTTAAGTTTATCATCCTTAGTAAATTGTTTCGAAAAGTAGATGATGTTTGCTTTAAGATTTAAAAGGTGAATTTCACTTTAAATAATTTTATATTTGTACAAATTATTTTGAATTTTCATACTATTTATAAAAGCCTATAGTGATTTATTTTAAGATTTAGAGGCATTTTATATGAAAACCCAATAGGATATTATCTCTTTATGAGCTTAGGAAATCTTAAATTCGTCGCCCTTAATAAATTGCTTCCAAAGGTAGATGATGTTTGTTTTAAAATTTAAATGGTGAATTTCATTTTAAAATTTTTTATATTTATAGAAATTATTTTGAATTTCCATACTTGTTATGAAATCCCATAGTGATTTTTTTTAAGATTTGGGTTTGAGAGAGTTTAAAAAGTTCAAAATATATCACACATTTTTAGCAATCATGCTTTCTCTATAGGTGCATGGCTTTTAGAGTGGTTTCATGTTTCTCAAGATGGTCAAATTTTGGTACATTTTTCTTATTCTTGACCCATGCAATATTATCAAACTTCAAAATCAAATGCTTTGTGCGTCAGTTGAAGAAATTGCAAATATTTAGCATTTCTTAAAAGGAATTTATGCATTTCAAATCATACTAAGACTTTCAAGGTGTTGTATTTGAATTGAAAATTGCATAATAAAATTCATGCAACACATGAAATTCCCTAAATGTAATTTTTTGTGAATTACTTTCTCATTAATATTTGACCAAATATTTTCCTATTTCTATTGGATTACATCAGGGATCAGCTTTAAGCCCATATCTTTTTGCTTTAGTTATGGATGGACTTACTAGACATCTACAGGAGGATGTACCTTGGTGTATGTTTTTTGCTGATGATATCCTTCTCGTGGATAAAACGAGAGAAAAAGCCCAGAAAAAACTTGAATTATGGAGGTCTACATTTGAGTCTAAAGGCCTTCATTTAGGTAGAACTAAAACTGAATATATGGAATGTAATTTTAGTAGTAATAGCTCTAGGTGTGACTTTGGGTGAGCAAATTATTAAAAGGTGTGAACAATTTAGATATCTTGGGTTCGTTGTTCAAAGCGATGCTGATATAGATGGGGATGTTAATAGTAGAATTCAAGTTGGTTGGTTGAAGTGGAGAAATGCTTCGGGCCTTTTGTGTGATAGAAAAGTATCTCTTAGACTGAAAGGAAAATTTTATAAGACGGTGATGAGACCTGCAATGCTTTTTGGCGCTGAATGTTGGCCTTTAAAAGAGAAGCATAATAATAAGTTAAGTGCTGCCCAGATGAGAATGATTAGGTGGATGAGTGGCTTTACACTTAGAGACAAAATGCGAA